TTGTTTGACCAATTTGGTTGAAACTCGTTTTAGAAGGGGTTTATTTCATTTTTTTACAGAAAAAATATGCAGCGGTGTGGCAACCCAGTGCTTGTAAAATCGGCGAGGTTTAATAGGGCATTTAAAAAAAACACATTCCCCAAGTTTTAACCTGGTTCTGCCTCTTCTACATAAATTTTGAGTTCAGAAGTGGAATCAGCATGCCTCAAACGAGGGGGAAATCACTCGGGAAAAGCGTGTACGAGTTAGTACATGGTACACTTTAGTACGTGTAGTACGACGTTAGTACGGCTAGTACGCCATTAGTGCGGTCAGTACGCCATTAGTACGGCTAGTACGACGATAGTACGGTCAGTACACCATTAGTCCGGTTAGTACACTGTTAGTACAGCGTTAGTACACCGTTAGTAAGCGGTTTTTTTTCAATAATTCGATCGATAGCCTAATTGAAGGGGGACCCAGTCTCCCCTTCTCGTTCACAACAGACTAATTTGAAATATATGGTCCTTTTTTCTCAGAGAGAACTTCAGATGATGTTGTTTCGGTGGTGGCTACACTGAGGTGGAAAAGAGCGAAAACACGCAAATGCTCCTGCACCCGTCTTTGAGACTTCTTGACTCTCCCACATGTTGCCAGATGGTCAAACCGAGTGTGATACTTTTAGTTTAAGAGTTGCGGAGCTCGTCCTACAGAGTTTCGTGAGTATCCGGTGAGAAGAAACAAAAGTGATATTTTGAATGGTTAATGCTGGATTTAGTCTCGTGAGACCCGTTGCCTCACGATGAGGCGGCCTCATTGAGATCGCTTGCCTCAGAGGTTTTCAGCCAATCACAGACCTCAAAAACCTCTGAGGCAAGGGATCTCAATGAGGCCGCCTCATCGTGAGGCAACGGGTCTCACGAGACTAAATCCAGCATTACGTGTCTACTTACGTAAGTTGGACGGGGGAGAGATGTGAAAAGGTATTGTTCCGGGTTCATCTTGACAAAAGAAATCGAAAATGTTTTATGCTCCAAGACGATCGGAATCGTAATGGCAGACTTATTGCCCCCCAAATTGACAATTTGGTTGCTTTTGCACACATTGGGTAGCTATGGCGGGGCGGGCGGTGGCGGCCTGCCGCAGTCCGGGGCCATACCATTGTCTATCGCCTTCTCCCCCTAGGCGGCTGTGAACAGGCTGTAAGGAAAAGAATTAGACAGTGCCAATTACAGCACGCTGGACGAGATGGTGAGAGACTTACCCCTGAGGGGGGTCGAAATACCGACGGCCTCGGTACGATCCACGGCCGCGACCACGGCCGCACGCCGCCTGTGGCTGCTGATGGCCGTCCTCGATGCCATCCGCTACCTGCCGCTCGCCGAGCCTCTCGTGAACAGACTAAACAGACAAACAGGGGTTAAGGCGACATCTCACTTGCAACGGCACTGAGTTAAAAACGAGGATACTTACACGGCGGGGCTGGGGGTGGACGATTGCCACTCTGTTGGCAAAATCACGACCCGCCTGCTTAGCGATCTGCACTTCAGCCCCGGAGAGGCGGCTCGGAGGGCTTGCTTCCCAATCTGTAGGCGGGCTGGGGACGGCGTTTGGTCCTGGGGGCCTCTCGCCCATAAAGCGTAAGTTGACACGTTGAAAAGATAGAAAATCGATAGAGATCCACATGCGGCGAGGTTAGGAAAGGGGCGGCAAAATCTCGCGGTTATTTCGAAAAGCGCGGCGAACTCAATCGCAGATTTGAAAAGCGCACTTGTGAATCAACTAGTTCAAGAATGAATGGCGGAGGGACACTCGCGGTAGCAACAGGTTAGGAGTCCAACGCTCCGGTCTCACAGGGATTTCACTCACACGAATTCCACACACTATTGTACTCACCACCTGTTCTTTCTCGGATGAGAACTCGCTCACATCTTATCTCAAATACTCTTCGCTGGAAGACATGGCTCACACTCGATACACTCTTTCACTCTGTCACTCTTTCACTCTGTCACCTCTACAGCTCAACTGACGAGATGGCCCTTAGCCCGGACCTACTCCGACGACCCGCCCCCGCCTCGACCAATCAGAGCCCAGCACATTTTCAAATCGGCGACGGCACTGACAGGTGTCAATATTCACGTTTATTTCGCGTTTTAACACTCTGATGACGTCGCGCGATACGGCGGAAGGCGTGTCCATCATTATTCTTCCTTGTTTCAACTCGCACCGCTTTATTTGATGCATTAAAACACTTTAATTCGCCTTTAACGAGACCCCGGGTCGTCGACCCCATTCAAACGGCGGGCACTCATTGGCTGAGCGGCGCGGCACCGTCGGAGACGTTTTTCGAAGTCTTTGTGATCTGTTAAAGAGAAATTAGAGTTGGCCATGTGTTTTAAACGTGTTCAAACCTGTCTCTGACTTCCAACCTCTGTATAAACTGTGTTGTCAATGTATGGCGTTTTCGGTTGGAGGCTTTGGCGGGAACCCGGCCGGTGGTCCAGCAGCTGGCCTGAGCATGCGCACAACACTTTGGCATTCCCTATTGTAGTTCCACAACCCGCCACCAGAGGCGCACATTTGAATTTGGGCGCGGAGGCTCACAGCCCGCAACTTTAAGGCACCAAGAGGATTTAACGCAACCCATCCCTGCACCCCGAGGAGACACCCCACCCCCTCCCCGCAACCATGAGGATTCCCGACCTGCACCCGGAGGAGAACACCCACCCCGCAACTTTGAGGCACCAGAGGACCTGCACTTACGCCCCTCGAAATTATGCCCCTCGGGGGGCGTGGGTCAGGCTCTCGCACGGGCGCATCCGATATCCCCGAACGGAATAACGAATACCCCCTCACTCCACCCATCCCCCCGCCTCGAGGGGGACCCCCACCCATGCCCGCTACTTTAAGGTACCGCAACTTTTGGCGCAAGTATGAGGTACCCTTACTACTGCCGAAAACAAAAGTTGTGCGAAATCACTTTGGATCCTGAACAAAAATGACACTTTTTCAACAAGAAAATCACCTAGAGGGCAGCTGTACCCTGGATCCATCCCGCATGTGAATTCCCGACATGGTTAACATCTAAAAATTAGAGTTTTGATCGTTTTTTGCTGTTCTCAGCTCAGTGTGGGCGGTGGGCGGGCCTTGCTTGTTTTTTAGCCCGCCCTTCTGCTTTTAAAAAAGCATTAAAGCGGGCTTATGCAACCGCTCTCGTGTCCGTCCGTCCGTCCGTCCGTCTGTCCGTCGTCCGTGTAAGAGGAAGGAGATGAGCTAGAGGTCTACAAATTTCAGGATCTTAGGGGTCACTCCTGGACAACGAAACGCCTGGTGCAAATCCTGGCAATCACCCCTAAGGGGGTGAAAGGGGGTAACAAAGAAATAGAGGTTGGTCCAAAAAGTAGGAATTTTTTTTTATAGTCTCCTAAGAGATATCTACTACAAGTAGAGGCCTCTGGAGGAAAATTTTGTCCGTTTGACTCTATCTTGCACCGTTTAGGCGCTAGAGTGCTTTTTTCGACGAAAATACGGCGAAAATGACCACGTTGCACATAAAAACGTGCAAGGAGGCGCCCAATCGTAAAATGTCAGAGGAAGTAGCACCCCAAAACAACACATTCTGAACCAGGAACTACCCTCGGATTTGCCGTATCTTTGACTGTTTCGGCCCTAGAGGTGGATATTTTAAAAACAATGGCAAAAAGTCAAGTTTTAAGACTGTTTGACAAACAATATACAATCTAGAAACCGCGAGGGTTCATTTTTTGTAAGCAAAGCAGAAGAAGGGTGGGGTGTAGTCACGGTGTTGCCCCGTTACAGTCTTTTGTCATGTCCATGGAGCAAATTTCTAGGGCAGCAGGCCCCCCGCCGAACGCTTTAGTTTACTCAAATCTGCAAAGTGATTTACCGGTCACATTATTTATTTGATTATGCACTTCAGTAAATCACGAAACTGAAATGGTCGGGCCGAAGGTCCGACCATCGCCGCTGGCAGGCCAAGCAGGCCCGGCCCCTGCCGAACGGAGTTGCCGGCGCAGCGAAGTGGAGCTGGCAACTCCGTTTGGCGGAAGGGCGGGCCTGCTTGTTTCCCGTGTTCGTAATTTTGGACGGCGCATTTCGAAGTGTGTTTTAATTAGGGCAAGTACGACCTGTAATTTTAGTCTACCCGAAGCTGTTTTAGATGGGTTCGGGATAACATTGTAGACCAAAACCGCCCTATCAAAAACACTTATTTCGAGCTCCACCAATTGAACGAATAGAGAGAAAACACTGCACATCTAGTCCTAAGAGTCGGTGGCCTAATTATTTCTTAGGTGGCGCTTCAGAAGTGATTTGTACGGCAAAATTTGGAACACTAACTGGATTACACTTTTCAGAGGGTGCGAGCAGCACTGAGTCCACACCGCCTTCTGCAGAATCTGACACTGGCACAAGTTATGCGGCAGCTACGCCCTTCCCACACGCCACGCCACCTGAGCTCCCAGACCAGCCCGCCACCGTCGCCACGGCTTATTTGGCGCTGCCCTCGGCTCCAGGTGCCTCACCTGCCGATCCCGCTTCCGGCGCCTCGCCCCAAGCTGCGCAGGTGGCAGAGGCAGCACCGGCAGCGGCCAGTGCGTACGTAGCTCAGGTGCCAGCAGTGTCTCCGCCCCTCCAGCCTAGCTTCGCTGCCGCACCGCCTCTCGGGCCCATGGCCTACTTCGCCGCGAGTGCCGGAGGGCCTCCATCGCCAAGCCAGCCAGTCGTGCTGTCGGTCGACAACCCCAGGGTGACTGTGACGCGTACGGTGACGAGGTACGCGTGGCGCCATCCGCCGGTGCCAGTCAGCGAGCCGGTCACCGTCGTTTTCTCAAATCGAGACAAGAGCCCCCCAACCCAGGTTAGTGCCGTTTTAGTAAGTACGCTCTTAAATGGAGTAGCTCAACACAGCTACTGTGCGAGAAGCGAGGAGGTTATTCGCAACGCATTAATAACGTAGGAGTACGCGCAGCAGCCCGTAGTGGCTGAGCTTTAGTCGTTAGTGTGCTAAAATTCTCAAATTTAACGGTTAAAGGAATATAGTAATAGTAATGTACAGATGGAAGGCCAGGGAAGAACAG